CGGGCGCTCGTGTCCTCGTGAGGGCTAGATTTAGGTTACTTTAGTACTTAAGATGTCTTTGTTATGTGGTACTACGTCCGACAACATAACTGCGCCTCATATGTAGCGTTGGAGGGAAAAACTGTGGGAACAGAAAAGTAAATAACTTGGCTTTATCACTTCATTTGGAATTTTTTCGTCTAGTTTTTGTTTTGATTCTTAAAGTAGGTAAATTGAAATCGGACAACTGTGTATGCCTCTGTTAATGTTATGGCTATTATGATTATAAATCTCGGTTCGACTTTGTTTATTAGCCTGTACTAATACAATAAACATACCTAATGCTTTCGTATTTGAGTTGAATGAGTCTATCTGAAACTACCTTTCTGATTGGAAGAATCTTTTTGCATATATAGCCCGTTTCCTGATGTAAAAAATAGGTTTAACATCACAGTACGACTCTTGGAAATGGAGCCGAGATTAACTTCATTCTATTTTTCTTTCTAGCTTTCTAGGTCTACAATGGCCAAGAAGAAAATTCATATTTAATAGTGCTATTACACCCGTGTCTACATGGCTATACGTTTCTATACAATTTCCTGTCAACAGGCATTCAATAAAATTTTAACCTTGACTGCTATCTTCAATAGGATTGTCAAACTAATGGAGAGTGGGCTTCGCTCCTCAATTACTATTTAAACATTTACCTTCATGTTAAATATAACTAAAGAGTCTATATTAACTTATTTAAGTAGCATTCAGCATCAGCACAAATATACCTAAGATGAGTTGTTGAACAGGCTCCGAGAGAGGAACACATCCGCTTGCTAAGCATTAGACGGGCCATTACGTTAGCTAACAATCCATTAAAATTCCACACTAAACAAGAAAACAATAATAAGTCGGAGAAGAGTACACTTTAACATTTACTTACATGAACTCACGCCCGTATACTAACTCCCTAATTAATTTTACAATGAATAGGAACCAATAAATAACGATGCGAAACCAAGTTTGTCTGTTTGTTACGTTTCCACGCAGTAACTGCTAAACTGCCGTCAACATCAGGAAGATTGACATCAAGGGTTTACCCTTGATGTCAATCTTCCTGATGTTGACCAAACCAAAGGACATAGGAAACCTCTCGTCCAGAGAAGTAGAATTTAGTCTAAGCGAAGTCAGGAGACAGAGTTAGTTATCCATAAAGTCAAATGATAGTCACAGTTATGCATTATACCTAAAATCCAGATGCAGATATTTTTCCTCTACGTAAGGAAGATTATTTGAATATTTAAAAAGTATGCTTTTCTAGGAGACGAAATGATTGATATCTACAAGTAATGCATATATCCAGACTTCAAAAACGATATCAAATAAGATAGTGGAGTTATTGCGAAAAGGGTGCTTTAGTAGAGAAAGAAAAGGGACTATGTGTGTTCGCTTGCAAATACGAAGGAACGTCAGTAGACAGAAAGAAAGAGATAGAGAGAAATTGACTATGGATGGTGAGAGTGACAGAAGTGTAGAAAAAAAACCGACAGGTTGCACTCCGGGAGTGCCGGCAGAAGTGAAATCTTGAATATTAACGTTGTGCATTTTTGATATTTTGGAATGGTTAGGTAATAATTTTGCACGAATTGCTTTAATTATCAGTATAAAAGTACTATAATTTATGTGCTAGAATACAATATTTATTTATTGCGCTATCGTACACAAACATTACAATTTATCGACACGCTGTCACCATCCATGGATGCGCTTGGCACGCTGTAACATAAACACACACGAACATTCGCGCAAGCGCCCTGCGCCGCCTAAACGAAACAGCAGGCGCAGGCATACATTTTCGCCGCGCCGTAGAAAGAGAGGGGGATACTTCCTCTCCTACGCCGCGCCGGCTGTCTACTCTCCATCCGTCTTACGAATTTTCGATCAGGTCACGTGTCCTGACGCGAGTTTAACATTTTCTACCCATTACAAAAAAGTGTACAACGCCGTTAAAGAAGTTTTCACTTCAAAAATCAGTTTCTTGTAAAAATCAGAAACAAGGAAAACAGTCTCCTACCGACTTTCAAGATTGATGAAAAATACTGTTTTACTCGTAGCATCTAAAAAACAGACTGCTAATTGTTAGTTAAATTTTAAAATCACCATAAGTTATTTATGTGTTCATTTATTAAGAAGGAATTAAATAAATACACAACTATATAAATGTCGAAAACAGTAGGTACAGTGCAATTGTTATTTGCGACCGTCGTGCTGCCTGCGAGCGGAGATAAGCCTTACAAGCCTTTTCACTGAACAATAATTTCACAAATTCACAGCTGTGTGATTTTATAACCAATTATTTGTTTTTGTTCTCAATTATGTCTAAGTCAGTTTAAAAAACCGTTAGAGGAAAGCTTAGGTATAAATTTCTTAAAAGAGACTAATGTTAAACAACGAAACCCACTTGAAAAAGATATGGCAGTATTAGTGCTCTCTCTAATTGCTGAACTGGTATACGAATAAGTATAGCCTCCTATCCTGTCTTCAATCACAAAATACCCTGATTCTTTTTTTGAAAACTTTCCAGGAATAAGTAAAAACACCATACGCGTTTTTTTTACCTCAATTCACCTTCGTCCATTGTTTCCTCTGGACACGATCACATTAGTATGTTAGACTGGCAATAGTATATACTCCATCTTTTAAGTTTTTAAATGGTCACGGGACTGTGATGAAGTGGGTACTAACTGCATATTGGTGCTTAAATAAAAAAAAAACATTTTTCGGTGATCTTTTATCGTTACTGATCTTGTGTTGAACAGGAACTTAGTCGGTGAGAAAAAGTTATGCAACGAAACGATTTTTTGCAATTGGTATTAGGCTAAAATTATTTTTTTAAGTTCTAGTATTAAAAATACGCTTTATTTATTTACATCTTTTACCAGGTCGCCTTTATTTTATGCCTTTTACTCCTAAATTTGGCGCAGCTCCAACAGACCTTCTGTAGAGATGGTATTGTATTTAAAAAAACTTAGTCGGTAAGAAAAAGATATGCCACCAAATCGACAAAAAAGGGGTAAGGAGATGATGACCCTACTGAATAGAAAATAAGCATTAGTATGCAATCATCGTAAACTTTATTCACCAGTAGAAATACAAAGTTACAAGTAATATAGCTGTGTTTTATCGAATAGATTTCATTCTCCAGTTAGGCTGAAATTCAAACAGAAATCTCCAGTAACCAATCTTAAAATTTACGATGAATTTTATTTCATACTTCATATTTGGTATCTGCTTATACCAAATGTTATAAGTAAGATGACAGGAGTAAATTATTTTCACTTTAAAAAAATTCACTTTAAATGCGTGACAAGATGAGAACTCAATTATTCACGTTACATTAACTCAAATGAAATATTTCGGACTGACAATTCGGGACCTAAATGAAGTATTTCGGACACATGATTCCTAGAGGCATTTGCCGCAATTACATAACAAAATATACAGCGTGTTTTAAAACAGGTAAGGGGTAGAGAATGTCGCAGCGTTGGAGTATTATGACAAATATTCATCCGGACATTTTTACGGTCCGTATCCGCGCCAGTCTGTATTTAAATTGGTGCAAAATTAAAATGCTTGAGCAGGAAACTTACGACAATGACACATAATGAAATTTATGTATTAAATTAAAACATTATGATTTACTATTATTATTATTACAGGTATTTTTGAAACTTAGTTTCGAAAGAAGAGCACATAATGTAAAATACATCAATACGCTAAGAACATTCATGTTGAGTATTAAAAAAAAAATAGTTTAAAAAACCTAAAAAACACGCTTTTTATAGAAAACCAAACTAAAAAATAGTAGATAAATTTTAATAAATTTGAAAAAAAGCGTTAGGGTGCCTGTTGTCAAAAGTAAAAAGCACCCCAACATTTTTTTTTAATTATTATTATTATTATTATTTTAAATTAGTGTATCATCGGTCCTCGATATATCTACAAAGTTTGAACGAATTCTGACCGTTTAAAGTCAGTCAAAATCACGCCAACACGCAACAAACATACAAGTGAAGCTAATATTAAGCGTGTAAAAAGCCAGTGATCTTTCATCGTTACTGATCTTGTGTTGAACAAGAACTTAGTCAGTGAGAAAAAGTTATGCAACAAAACGACTTTTTGCAATTGATATTAGGCTAAAATTATTTTTTTAAGTTCTAGTATTAAAAATACGCTTTATTTATTTACATCTTTTACAAGTTCGCCTTTATTTTATGCCTTTTAATTACTCCTAAATTTGGCGCAGCTCCAACAGACGATCTGTAGAGATAGTATTGTATAGACGCGATTTATGACGCCACCACTGGTTACATTTAAAAAAATATATACTTTGAACTTTTATTGAGCGACGCACAGTTGAATTATATCACATCCTACTCCTACTAAGAACTCTTTTATTAGTAATTGCTGGAAACAGTGATGCCTCAAACATTTATGAAGGGCTTTTAAATTACCTCACCTTTTAATGTTTTATTTAAATATATTTTTTACCGTTAGAGAGTCACGCTTGCAGATATCTACCAGAGTATAAAGCGATTCTATCGTTGCTTGTCCGTGTGGTGAAGGATTAACAATACGGAGTGTGTCGTATGAGACGGCTAAGGGACCAAACTACGCAGGACAACAGTCCTGCAAAGAGAAGGCAAACTTGACACAAACCCTAAACCAACCCTTCTGGTAGCATGGTATAGTAGGCCAAAACCTCCTTTCTAAGGAGAGGACTGTCTCCAGCATTGCATTATTGAGGGCTGATGATGATGATCGTTGCTTTACAATGACTTTACCCCCTCCCTCCCCCTCGTAATTATGGAAAGGGGGCTACACTCAAATGGCAACAACACACTTGTGTCTTTTGATTGAAAGATGTCCAGGGGTGCCTGTAGTCACTACCAGGTAACCAGCCTGCTCCTTCGTTACCTGTACCATAAAAAAGTAAATAAAAAACCTAAAATTCTTTTCATTTATTTCAGGTGACATTGAAGACTGTATAGTGACACCGGCGTACCAGGGCCAGTTCACCCCACTGCCTGAAGCGTTGTGTGACTGCATCATGGATCTAACTTCACAGGTGGGGCAGGTTAAGAATATCAAATATGTAGGTTTTAATCATATTTGTAGTTCTATATAATCTCTAGAATATATCTATAACATCTCACACACGGCCGTCTGATTCTAAGCTAGGCAGAGCCTGTAATATGGTAACCAGAGTGGTCAATCTTTCATACATACACAGATTACATCCAGCCACAGAACAACTGAATTATTTGACTGTGACTGCACGGATGGCGTAGTGGTTTAAGCGATCGCCATGCCGCTTCCTACATGGCTTCGATCCCCACATGGGACGACACTTTGTGCGATCCACAAATTGTTATTCTGAGTCTGGGTGTTCTTTGTGTCCGTTTCATGTATGTTCTTAAAGTCCCCCGCGACACAGGATATATTCCTAATGAGGGAATTGTCTTTTAAAAAAAAACCTGGATTCTAATAAAACCCACGGCCTAGGAAAAGTGTTTTAGCCCTTGGGCACACTAACTACCGCATGCAGTCTGAATCACTAACCATCAGAGGCCCTAGTGCGGGTTTAAACAACTAATAATGTAGAAAATTGATAATTAGTTGACTCCGTAAATAAAGTAAAGCGTTAATAATTTTATGGAAAAGTCGTGATTTTTTAATCTCGAAGTTTTATTTACATTGACCCATAAAGTTAACATTTAAAATAAGAGATGGCTGACCTAAATGAAAGAGCGAATATAAGAAGTTATAAGCTAAATAAATGTTTTTTAGAGGTACTTGATATTATACCTACGTGATTGTTATCAAAACCAATGCAACCTGGTTGAAATTTTAGGCAATTCGCAGTTACATGTATAAAATATGAAAAACAATTGGTGCTTTATAGCTTTTTTTGCTATCAATAAATTTAATGCACGTTCATTAATTTTTTTGATAGTGAAAAAGCTCTATAATACGTTTAACAAACCTTTTTATAACGTAAGTACAGTTATCCACTTAAATATAATTATAATCATTACTTAGTACTTACACTTGAAACAAAGCTTCATGTGAATTGGGCCGCAAATACAATCGATTTCGTATAAGTTTGATTACCTACAGATCAAATTCTCATATAATACTTTCTCTGTAATATTGTTTTCTAGGGCGAAATTTACTGTAAATTGATTCAGATATATTCTTCGGTTTCTAACTGTAATGTGTATTATAGATTTTAGACTTACCTCAGATTCTAAGATATATTATATATCCATAGATATGTTTTTCAGCTTAAGACGAAGTCTTCAAAGAAGATTTGCTATAAAGATTGCTTAATACCGTCATAGACATAAATAAATTACATACAAGTTTAAAGTTACAAAAAAGTAACTTTTTGTTGTTTTAATTTCTGTGAGTAGTGCAGTTGCAATCTAAAGAATCTTATTACAATCAGAAAGATTGAGATTTGATCAGAGGTACTTCAGTTACTTGCATTTCTGGAAACTTCCACGCTACGAAACAAAAGCATGATTCGGCGAATGGAGTAGTGGTTTTAGCGGTCATATCACCGCTTCCTACTGCGCTAAGTGTTATGGTAAATCCCTACTTGGGACAACACTTTGTGTGATTCACAAATTGTTGTTTTAAGTCTGAGTGTTCTTTGTATTTGTCGCGACACAGAATGTCCTAGTGCGGGAGTTCCCTTTACAAAAAAAAACAAAATATGTTCTAAATTTTTTTTGGCGATGAAGCACAAGGACCAATGCAAGGACTTTCGAGCCCTCTAACTAATAGTATCAAATTAATTTAAAATTATTTAAAATCGTTTTTCATCTAGACTCTAAAGTCAAAGATTAACATTTTTAAATTACTAGATAGATACAGCGGAATCGTTTAATCTACTACTAAATAATACATAGCGTCAAAACTATCTACATCTGCATATATAAATCTCTATTACGCTACTCAGTGTAAATTATACAATAAATTAAACTCCAGTCGATACAAGACACAATTACAAGATTAATTTCTTTTTAAATAATTTGCATGCCAAATAGCTGTAACCGCCAAAACTTAGATGGCACGTGACCGTGAAATGTGGAAGACACAAACACATTACTCGTACGAAAACAAACTGGTTTAGAAGTAAACCTGTTCATTCTTGTTTGTTTTTATTGTGTGGTTCAAGTTTTTTGGTCTATCTGAATTTCTAATTCGATAGAAAGGCTTGAGGCACTTTAGTTTAATTATTATTAGAGACTATGTTTATAGTTTGAATACTAGACGGACTTGCAAAGCGTTGATTTGATAGAATTGTAAAAGCAAAAATATTTTCAAATTAAAATTTTTGTTACATATATACTTAAGACCTTGTAGTCAATGTTCGCATCGATAATAATATCTTGAAACATCTTACACACGGCCATCTGATTCCAAATTAGGCAGTGCCTGTATTATGGCGTTCAGATTATTGTCTAAATACTTATATATTTCCAAATATATACGTAATGTAGATCAATTACACCCAGACAAAGAACAAAAGATCGTGCTCATCACACAGTTATATCTCCTGAGAGAGAATCAAACCCCCGATCTCTTGTTTCACTGTCAAAATGGCTGACCACTTGACCAACATTACGGGCCAGTCAAAATCAATGTCCAATCAAGTGCCCGATTGACGACAAAATGCTTGTGCCCTTTTACGTTAAACTTTTAATATTGGTCCAAACAATACAGCTACAAATCGTAGAAAGAATACGCCGTGAATACTTATCTCTTCGGTCATCCAAGCAAGAGTTAAGAATTTTTGAAGTTAAGGATTTCTTACCCAATAGTGGGAAGTCAAAGGAAATCGTAAGAAAACTTATTAGATAGACACTAAGTTAACGTTACTTAAAACAACTATATAAATAAATAAAATCGAAGTGTCTGTGTGTAATGTAAAAATAATAGGTTTTTTTCATGCTCACACGGTTATTTGCACGACACCTATGCCTAAAAACCACTTATTTTGTTTTTTTATTTGTCTGGACCGATTTCGAGAATGTTTTACTACCAGCTTTCTATACAAGGAGTAGTATAAGGCAATTTTTTCTCTCAGAAAAACTCTATAAAATTTTGCCCGGTCTGGGAATCGAACCCACTAAGGCAGCGCTCTTCAAACTCTAACGAAGTCGAGGGCTCCAGCTGGTCCGATATAAAAAGTTAAGAGCCATGCTTCGGCATAGCCCTTTCCTATCCTGTGGGGAGAGGGAATTCAAAGAACCGCAACGCACTTGTGTCTCTTGAGTTGAATGTGTCCATGAGAATATATATTGTGTATATACGTACAACAAAGATATATATTCACGTCGGAACTTTTCGAATGGAAAAAAAAGGTCCTGTTCAAACATTTTTAAGTTTTCACTTCAGTCGGCACTCTCGGAGTGCCAATTCTGGTGTACTGCTAACACTTTACCTATTCACGGGCCTGTTACTCCACTAGAGTAAGTAAGTATACGTAGTGACCCTGACTGCTAAGCTTCGACCTCCGGGTCGTGGGTTCGATTCCTACCCAGGACTAATAATTGTGTGATAAGCACAATCATTTGTTCAATATCTGGGTGTAATATATCTACAATATGTATGTCTTTAGAAATATATAAGTATGTTTATCAGCAGTCTGGTTACCATAGCACAGGCTCTGCCTAGTTTGGAATCAGACGGCCGTGTGTGAGATGTGTAAAGTTATTATTATTTCCCTTTTAGCTCTAACGACGCTTTACAAAAGCAGAACTAAACAAATATATTATCACAGATGTATGTAAGGTTAAAAGCCAAATTACCTACTTTTTCAAAACCTCCAGCTACACTTATGAGTTCTGCAGTGCTATTCTCTAAGGAAAGAGCTTTGCGTACAGCGCTGCCACATGTTGTCATACTTCAAAGTAACTTAGTTTGAAATTCGACACTGTGACAGCGCTGCAGCGTCGAATTTCAATCCAACTTGGTTTGAATTTCGACGAAGTGCCAGCCCTGTACGCAAGACTATTTCCTTAGAGAAGAGCACTGCTTGTAAAAATCTAGTAGAAGAAGAATAAGTAGACAAAACATGATAAATACAAACTTCATTTCACATACTCAATACATAAAATACTCTAAATATAAATAAACAGATATATATTTATGTAATAAAATAAAACTACAACATACCAACTGCATGTGCTAAATACACTTAAACATAGGGTTAAACTCTCGAGTATAAAATTAAATTTCTCTCAATAGCGGCATGAGCAAAGGCCAGTTTAATATCGATTGAATCGACAATTAAACCCCGCTTGCACTTAAAACTTGTACCAAAACCAGTTCACTCATCTGACCTGTGGAATGTTACCATCATGGTCCTTTTGCTGATACGCTCCTAAAAATAGCGACACCATGAGCTCATTGCAGCGCAATCGCCATATTGAATCCACGTTAATTTAAATATTTTCCAGTAATTATCCAATTTCTTGATTAATTAAGTGGTGAAATAAATTTACTTTTTAACACATTATGGACTTAATGGGTTAAGATGTTTTTTTATATAAAAATAACTTATCACAAAAAGCATGGCTTGCATGATGGTAAGCGGTTACCGCTTGTTTTAAATATTTGCAACACCAACGCTGTCGCTTGTGTGAAGCCACTTTCATATGGCTACCCTTCCCTTTATTTACGTCTTGGATGATTATAAAAACAATAAAAGTTGAACGAGCTGCTGATGATCCCTTCTCAAACCATACAGTGGCTTTGTTGTATCTGCCTTGATGGTCTAACAGGGCCCCTAAGCTGTAACGTTCCAATATTATAGTTTTTAGGGCTTTTAAAGTTGTTTTTCTATCACCTTTTACCTTGTGTCATTTTCTGTAACCCTGGTATCATCATCGTCATCACCAACAGCCTTAATTTGTCCACTGCTGGATATAGGCCTCTACTTAGAAAGGAAGTTTTGGCATACTATATCATGGTGGCCAGACCGGTTGGTATAGGGTTTGTTTCAAGTTTTCCTTCTCTTTGCAGTACTATTGTCCCCTCTTGTTCAGTTTGTTC